TCTAATCAATCATTTTAACCTCTGTGATCCCAGTACATACCTAAATTATACCTTATATTTATTCATCCATTTATTTACCTATTTGACAATATATACTGAGTTGCCTAATATGTGCCAGGCACTACTCTAAGGCTAGGGCTACCAGGGTAAATTAGACTGACATGGAACTTCTTTTCTTTTCAAATTTTTATTTAAATTCTATTTAGTTAACATACAGTTCAATATTGGTTTCAGGAGTAGAATTCAGTGATTCATCACTTACATACAACACCCAGTGCTCATCATAACAAGTGCCCTCCTTAATATCCATCACCCATCTAGACCATCCCCAACCCTCGTCCCTCCATCAACCTTTAGTTTGTTCTCTGTCTTTAAGAGTCTCTTATGGTTTGTTTCCCTCTCTTTTGTTCTTGCCCCTCTCATATGTTCATGTTTTGTTTCTTAAATTCCACATGAGTGAAATCCTATGGTATTTGTCCTTCTCTAATTTCACTTAGCACAATACTCTAGCTCCATCCATGCCATTGCAAATGGCAAGCTTTCATTCTTTCTGATGGCTAATATTCCATTGTGTATATATATATACACCGCATCATCTTTAACCATTCATCAGTCGATGGACATTTGGGCTCTCTCCATAGTTTGGCTATTGTTGATAATGCTGCCATAAACACTGGGGTGCATGTGCCCCATTCGAATCTGTATTTCCGTATCCTTTGGGTAAATATCTTGTAGTGCAATTGCTGTGTCATAGGGTAGTTCTATTTGTAACTTTTTGGGGAACCTCCATGCTGTTTTCCAGAGTGGCTGACCAGCTTGCATTCCCACCAACAGTGTAAGAGAGTTCCCCTCTCTCCGCATCCTTGCCAACACCTGTTGTTTCTTTTGTTGTTAATTTTAGCATTTCTGGCAGGTGCAAGGTGGTATCTCATTGTGAATTTGTATTTCCCTGATGATGAGTGATGCTGAGCATCTTTTCATGTGTCTGTTAGCCATCTGTATGTCTTCTTTGGGAAAGTGTCTATTCATGTCTTCTGTCCATTTCTTTAACTGGATTATTTGTTTTTTGGGTGTTGAGTTTGGTAAGTTCTCTATAGATTTTTGATACTAACCCTTTATCTGATATGTCATTTACAAATATCTTCTCCCATTCCGTAGGCTGCCTTTTAGTTTTGTTGATGATTTCCTTTGCTGTGCAGAAGCTTTTTATCTTTTTTTTAAATTATATTTTATTTTATTTTGTTATGTTAATCCCCATACATTACATCATTAGTTTTTGATGTAGTGTTCCATGATTCATTGTTTGCGTGTAACACCCAGTGCTCCATTCAGTACGTGCCCTCTTTAATACCCATCACCAGGCTAACCCATCCCCCCACCCTCTCCCCTCTAGAACCCTCAGTTTGTTTCTCAGAGTCCATAGTCTCTCATGGTTAGTCTCCACCTCCGATTTTTATCTTGATGAAGTCCCAGTAGTTCATTTTTACTTTTGTTTTCCTTGCCTCCAGAGATGTGTCTAGTAAGAAGTTGCTACAACCAAGGTCAAAAAGGTTGCTGCCTGTGTTCTCCCTTAGGATTTTGATGGTTTCCTGTCTCATATTTAGGTCTTTCATCCATTTTGAATTTATTTTTGTGTATGATATAAAAAACTAGTCCAGTTTCATTCTTCTGCATGTCACTGTCCAGTTTTCCCAACACCATTTGTTGAAGAGACTTTCTTTTTTCCACTGGATATTCTTTCCTGCTTTGTTGAATATTAGTTGACCATATAGTTGTGGGTCCATTTCTGGGTTCTCTATTGTGTTCCATTGATCTGTGTCTGTTTTTGTGCCAGTACCATACTGTCTTGATGCTGATAGCTTTGTAATAGAGCTTGAAATCTGGAATTGTGATGCCTCTAGTTTTGTTTTTCCTTTTCAGGATTGCTTTGGCTTTTTAGGGTCTTTTGTGGTTCCATACAAATTTTAGGATTGTTTGTTCTAGCTCTGTGAAAAACGCTGGTGATATTTTGATAGGGATTGCATTAAATGTGCAGATTGCTTTGGGTAGTATAGACATTTTAACAATGATTGTTCTTCCAATCCATGAGCATGGAATGTTTTTCGATTTCTTTGTGTCCTCTTCAATTTCTTTCATAAGTGTTCTATAGTTTATAGAGTACAAGATATTTTAACCTCTTTGGTTAGGTTTATTCCTAGGTTATCTTATTGTTTTTGGTGCAATTGCAAATGGGATCAATGCCCTGATTTCTTTTTCTGCTGCTTTGTTATTGGTGTACAGAAATGCAACAGATTTCTGCACATTTATTTTATATCCTCTGACTTTGCTGAATTCATGTATTACTTCTAGCAATTTTTTGGTGGAATCTTTTGGGTTATCTACATAGAGTATCACATTGTCTGCAAGTAGCCAAAGTTCGACTTCTTCCTTGCCGATTTGGATGCCTTTTATTTCTTTTTGTTGTCTGACTGCTGAGGCTAAGACTTCCAGTACTACGTTAAATAGTAATGGTGAGAGTGGACATCCTTGTCTTGTTTCTGACCATAGGGGAAAGGCTCTCAGTTTTTCCCCACTGAGGATTATATTAGCTGTGGGTCTTTCAAATATATGGCCTTTATGATGTTGAGGTTTGTTCCAACTATCCCTACTTTGTTGAGGGTTTTTATCAAGAATGGATGCTGTGTTTTGACATGGAACTTTAATGTTAGTACTCATTATAGTCTAACTTGTATTTTGCTTAGTTATTTAAATGCCATTTCTTCCATCAATTTGTGAAATGATGAAGTCAAGGTCCACACTTCTTAAAAAAAAATCTTTGCCCATAGTGAGCACCTACCACATTATCTTTAGAATGGCAGCAATTGGTTTTAAGATCTGCTTCGTCATTTACTGTAGACATTGTGAACTTGAATAAAGCACTTACTTCTCTGATTCTCTTTTCTCATATGTGAAATAGAGATACCTGTCTTATATAAAATTTTTAAAATGAAAATTATTTTTTGAACTGTAAAGATGTAAAAACACCTACTAAATAATAACAATAATAATAACAGTAATAGTAGTAAATGATGTTTCTACTTCTAGTAAACTGAATTATAGCTGGGCCATTTGTTTGCCTTCATGAACAGGGAGTAACTATTCACTGACCAAAGAAACTAATACAAAATATTAAGCAACAAAACTACACAGTCCTTCATTAGCATAAATATAGATTGAGATTTATTTTTTGCAGTGGTATCTCACTAGCTGATGGTCTACACTTATTTTCCCGGTTAGGTTTAGATGTATCTTCCACGTCACCCAGTCTGATGTATCATTCAGGGTTCAATCAGAGAAAGAGAACCACTAGGAGGTAATTATATATATAAAAGAATTTGTTACAGGGATTTGACCATATGCAATCGTGGGAGCTGGTTAAATGGTCTTTGCATATGATGATGTAGTTTGAAGACCACAGGGAAGGCAGCTTAGAAGGGAGGACAGATATAAAGTACAGGACAGCAAGAACAAGCTGACATCCAAGAGCACAAACTATAACCCACAAGGATGAACTCATTTCAGTTCTCACTGCCTCCAACCTGGATGAAATGGGTATCCTTCAGGAGATGCTGGTGCCCTTCATCATGGAGCTAACCATATCCTTCGCACAGGGGTAAGAGCAGCCAAAAAAGGACAAAGGGCAAGGTGGAGCAGTTGCAGCTCATCTGCTACTCCATGCCAACTAGGTGAGCCAGTAAACAAGCAATATGTATGAAAGAAAGTGCCTGCCCCAATAGTCCTGGTGTTTAAAAAAAAAAAAAAAAAAGGCTGCTGCTTCACTTTTATCCTCCAAATCTCATCCCAAATTGTCTCTTGTGGCCACTTCAACTGGAAACATTCAAAGAGGGAAATTCTGGGAAACACAGTTTATCCTAACCAAGCTGACAATGTTACAAAACTTACTGCAGCCTGTCCTTTGTCAACTTGGCACCCATACACTTCTCTTTAAACAATATTTAATTCCCAAATGGAGACAATAACAAAGTTATGCTTTTTGCCTAACATGGTATAACTATCCTGTATACAATAAACATGCTAACCCTTTCCCAATAAGAGGATACAAAGTCCCTTTTTTGTCTTTGGATGATATTTATTGTTTTCCAGACTGATTCACACTCTCCTTTGGTATCCTGTAACTTTAATATGGAGATATAAAATTAACTATTATTAACATGCCTTAGATGGTAGAGATATGAGACAGTGGAAAAAGTATATACAAACAGTGGTTTATATAAACAAATATTCACATAAAAAAGGGAAATGGGTATTTGTATCATCATTACTACAGCACTCATTTCTGTAACTGGTAACTTGGTCATAGCTGGTATTTATCAAGCCTGCTGTTTGAGGATGATAGAAAACATGGAAAGACCAGTGAAATCATGAGCATGGGCTCACTGCCAGACTTGATTTACTGTGAAGTGAGTTCATTAGTCACAAGTGATGCTGTATGAAATACCATGATTGTGAAAAAGGCAATCTGTAAGTCCATGGATAGTGGTTTTAGCAGAAACACTGGGGGCAAGGAAGGCAAATCTATATCCAGAGCAAATGTCTACTTCACTGAGAACACAGCACTCTTTTCCAAGTAAATGCTGGTCCTCTTGGGAAATGTTGCCATAGAGAAGTTTCAGCACTGTATCCAAATCTACTTTGGTGAGTGGAAGGAAATTCATGTTGATACTATAGCACAACCTCCATCTGTGGCACCTCTCTCCTTTTGTTCATGAACCAAAATATACTTCCTAGTGGTTCTGCATCTCTGAACCCTAACTAATGAATCTGGTACAGGGGAACAGAATCTTAAGGACAGGTTCTCAACTGGTTCTGGGTTATCTGGAATTGGTTCTCTCATCTTGCTTTTATAATATAATTCTACATTTATATTTAAAACACTGAAAGTACCTATAAAATAAACTTTTGATGACAAACACAAACAAGGGTATTCAGATTATACTTACTAAAGACTGAATCAACATATTAAGACAACTTTTCTGAATCTCAGAAGGTACATTTGCAAAACTTCTCTCAGACCAAAACCTTGCAAAATGCTTTACAATCCACCTGTTAAAAAAATAATCGAAGAATCCCAAGTTAGAGAAATGAAAATATTTTTAATTATAATACTCATATAATACTTTTATTTCCAATGATATAAGTTGTACATATATATGTGATGAGTAACCTTTATAGTCAATTTTTTTAAAGACCTTTATAGTTAATTTTGTGAGTTCTCTGATGGACTTAACTGTCCTTCCTTTTCTGTAAACACATATTTTAAATCCACTCTGAGTTATATGCACAGATTTTAACATAAATAATCAAGGTTCAGCTAAAATAAAATTGATCCCAAGCATCTTGAGTAATATCTAAGTCAATACTTTTCCTCACAATTGTTACAACTAGTTAAGCATTAAGCTATACATAATGTGCCCAACAGGCCAATTCCAAAATTTCCCCAGAAAATGAGAAGAATGGAAGAACAAAATCCCTACATTAATAGTATCAATACTACTTCAGATCACTTACTTCATGCAGTCAGCAAAAAGACTGTCCACTCCAACTGTATGAGCAATAATCAGGCACTCTAATACAGATGCCAACCTTCTGGGAACAGGCTAAAATTGACAGAAAACACCACATGTATTCTTTTTCAACTTACAGAGGCTAAAAGTATTTGGTTCATAAAGATGATCTGATTTATAAACCTAAACTGCAGAATAAATGTGTGTAATTCAAAAGTCTGGTCTATTAAAATTGAGTATCACTAACAACCTTTAGTTTTCTAGAGTAGAATTTGAGCTCTCTCAGCTGTCAGAATACACACAAGTTTTATTCTAATTTCATTTAGCTTAATTTTATTTATTTAAATTCAATTTAATTAACATAGAATGTATTATTAGTTTCAGAGGTAGAATTTAGTGATTCATCAATTGCATATAACACCCAGTGCTCATTACATCACGTGCCATCCTTAATGCCCATCACTCAGTTACCCCATCCCCCCACCAGCCCCCCCTCCAGCAACCCTCAGTTTGTTCCCTATAGTTAAGAGTCTCTTATGGTTTGTCTCTCCCTTTGATTTTGTCTTACTTTTCCTTCTCTTCCCCTATATTCTATCTGTTTTGTTTCTTAAATTCTACATGAGTGAAATCATATGGTATTTGTCTTTCTCTGACTGACTTATTTTGCTTACATTTAGCTTAATTTTTTAAAGTAAAATGGTATAATAATTTCTAGAACATCACATTGCAATGCAACCATATGGTCTAATCTGCTTCCTAAAGTATAAATATAACTCTAAGTACATGTGCAATGGGAGGTCCTACACTGACCTCAGACAAAATGATAGAATTAGATCATAATTATATAACATATTTTTAAAAGCTCATATACAGAAGTAAAGAATTAAAACAAATAAAATGTAGATATAAATAGTGACAACAAGTCACTGCTCTTGGTGTTAAGCCTCTGTGCTACATATTGCCCATATCATTTATTCTCAGGTTTTGGATTATATCCTAAGCACATCTATTGCTGATTAGGGTGAATAGAGTTCAACTTCTCTTTTTACACATTCGTTTATTGTAATGTGAGGTTTATACACTTAATAAAGATCACTGATCAATTTATGTATATAGTCTCTAAATGTGTCCTTCTGAAGATCCCCTGCTCTCAGAGAAGAGCAAAAGCTTCTTCAGAATTGGATTCAGCATTGTCTTTCTAATAAGGTCAGTGATTTCCAACTTTCAAAATTATGAAGTGCTATTAATTTGAGTTTCTAATACTCTTCTCCTGAAGTATTATATTAATGTTTAATAAATTGAATGTAAATATTTTGTTTTGCAAATTAACAATTTGGTTTTTCCCTTTGAGATAACTGGAGGTACTCTAGGTTATTCTAAAATCAGAAATGGCTGTCACTATATAGATTATACAGTGGTAATTCTACCAAGTTAAATTATTTGGTTTTCTGAACCACTTCAGATAACAGCATCAAACTCATGGGAATAAATTACTGGTATAAACATAAAAACACCCAGAGTCTGAAAAATTGTAAAACTAAAACAAGAGTTAAAAAGTCCAACAATCTAATTTTATTTAGAAATAAGCAGCCCTTTACATTGTGATGTCCATTAATTGATACACAACTTAAGAAAAATTTCCATAAATAATATTAAAATACAAAGTAACTTGGGGTGCCTGGGTGGCTCAGTTCATTAAGTGTCTGTCTTCAGCTCAAGTCATGATCCCAGAGTCCTGGGATCAAGCCCCGTGTGGAGCTGCCTGCTCAGCAGAGAGTCTGCTTCTCCCTCTGCCTCTGCCCCTCCCCACTGCTCGTTCTCTCTCTCTCAAATAAATAAAATCTTAAAAAAAAAAATACAAAGTAACTTGCTGCTTAAAGCAGAGACTAGCAAACTATACTTGTGGGCCAATCTAGCCCACCACTGTTTTTTTTGTGAATAAAGTTTTATTTGAACACTACTATGCGGTTCATTTACATATTGTCTATAGTTGTTTTTGCTCCACAACAGCAGAGCTGAGTAGCTGTGGTAGAGAACGTATGGCCCACAAAGCCTACAGTATTTGCTATCTGGCCTTTTACAGAAAAAGTTTACTGACCACTGGCTTAAGAGGTTAACTTTAGCTATCTGAGAATTTTACTTATATAAAAATGCTAATTCCCAAGTATTTTGTAACAGGATGACTGACCTTTAGTCATTTTCAAAATATGCTTGCAGAATTGGGGATGACATATATTTAAATTACTATCTAAAATATATTTTTAAAGAGGTAGCAAGGGGCACCTGGATTGCTCAGGCAGTTAAGCGTCTGACTCGGTTTCAGCTCAGGCCATGATCTCATGGATTGTGGGACTGAGCCCCAAATGGGGCTCCACACTCAGTGGGGAGTCTCCTTGAAGATTCTCTTCCTCTGCCCCTCCCCCCACTCTCACACCAGAGAGTGCTCTCTCTCGTTTTCTCTAAAGTAAATAAATAAATCTTAAAAAAAAAAAGAGGTGGTAAAAAATATATAATGTAAAGCTAACTGTAATTCTATAAATTAAGTCTAAAAATTTTAACTGTGTAAAATGTAAAATTGTGAAGTTAATGAAATAACTAAAGCTTGTCAGTAGTTCCAGGGCCAGTTACCCATTACCTTATACCCAAATTTGTATTACTGTGGAGTATGTTATAATAGGCTTACTATATTTAAGTCACTGCCAAGAAACTATGTAAAGCAAAAAGTTTAAAGATCAAGTGATAAAATAAAAAATTATTGTCTCAAATATCTGTTACCACAATAATACAGATGATATTAAAAGAAGCACAATAAAATGAAATAAGTTTTCAACAAAGTATACTGACAATCTTTTTAAAATTTCATTTTCTTGTTTTAATGTCAACAAATATGCCCTTTGCGTTTTTAAAATTAAGTGAATCACTGCAAGTAAAATGCAAGAAGCTGCAATAACTATACATACTCCACGGGAGGAAAAGATGGCGGAGGAGTAGGGGATCCTATTCCAACCGGTCCCGGAACTGAGCTGGGTATCCACCAGACCACTCTGACCACCCACGAAATCAGCCTGAGATGTGAGAAGATATACCTGGATCTCTACAAACAGAATATCGCAGGCAGTTGATTTCGAGGTATGAAGCGGGAAGCCGTGATTCTGCTGGCAGGTATCGGAAGATTAACAGAAGGGGGAGGGAGCTGCTGGGATCCTGCACCACTGGTGCACGACAGCCTCCTGTGCTGGGGACTGGGCACAGACTCGCAGACCGGTAGGGGTGGGTAAAGGACTTTAGGGCAGCCCCCTGGACTGAAACCTGGAGTGGCGGGGCTTGCGTGTGAACTGGGGGCAGCCGGTGGTTTTAGAAGCACAAAGGACAGAGACGTGCCCCCGAGCCCCGACCTGGAGGCAAGGACTGGGAGCCCTGCTGAGGGGTGCACAACCCAAGACACTGGAGTTTTTAGCAGCACAGACAGAAACAGAGACAGTGTGGCCTGGAGAGCTCACTAAAGAACAGACTGCAATCTCTCTGTTCTGAGGCAGAGGTTTGGAAACAGTCTCTTCTGCTCTCTCTGAAGAGACGCAGAAAGCCGCCAGGGAAAGCCGCCAGAGAAAAAAACCCCAAAAAACTGGTTTTTCACTGAGCCCATCCATCCACCCCCCGACAAGGGGCAGGGCAACTCTGCCCAAACAGGGTTGCCTGAGTAACAGCACGGCAGGCTCCTCCCTTAGAAGACAGGCTGGGAGAACAAGAGGCTGACAACCCTAAGGTCCCTATAAAACAGGTGCATCTTGCTTGGGTTGTGGTCAATAATTTGGACTCTGTACATTCCCTCAACCATCCCTCAACAGAATGACTAGGAGGAGGAACCCCCAAAATAAGAAAGACTCAGAGACTTGACTTCTGCCACAGATTTACAAATGGATACAGATATAAGCAAGATGTCAGAAATGGACTTCAGGGTAACAGTTATAAAGACGATAGATAGAATGGAGAAATCGATTAATGGCAATATAGAGTCTCTAAGGGCAGAGATGAGAGCTGAACTGGCAGAACTTAAAAATGCTATCAATGACATCCAATCTAATCTAGATACTCTAACAGCTAGGGTAAACGAGCCAGAAGAATGAATTAGTGATCTAGAAGACAAATTGATAGAAAAGAAGGAAAAAGGAGGCCTGGGAGAAACAACTAAAAATCCATGAAAACAGAATTAGTGAAATAAGTGACACCATGAAATGTTCCAATGTCAGAATTATTGGGATCCCTGAGGGGGTGGAGAGAGAGAGAGGACTAGAAGATATATTTG